TTTCAAATAGTTTCTTTTGGCTTATGAGTTACGCGTAGAGTGGGAAGAATGAAGGTTAATGGGGTGTAAAATGGTATGATTTTAATTCTGACTACATGATCAAAAAGCTAATGGGCAGTGAAATGCACAAAACCCAGGCAGCACTAAAATGCATTAGACATATAAGCAATCTCAAAGCTAGATAAGTGAGAGCTGGTTTGCGGATCTGAGAGATGGATTTACTAATGGGTCAGTAATTGGGAAGTAAATTGATTCAATACGGCATTGCTGGTTGCAGTGGCAGATTACATAAAATTAGCTAAAAGGACAACAAAAATTATCTGACACATTTGTCAGTTTAATTTTTTTCAATGTCTACCTCTCAACAATAGTTCAATAAAAAAATAATTTGCATTTAATGCATTCTGATTAAAGTAAAATAATGCAATTATTACCTCACAAATATCTTGATCCGATGTTAAAATGAAAAATATCTTTAAGTAACATATATACATAATTGAAATCAAGTAGTACCTGTCGAACAACTGTTCATCAACCCAACCTACTTTTTGTACACTTCTCTGAACCCATGTGCTTCAGAAGACTGTATGTCAACTCCAGCCCTATAGGCAGTGAATCATGATTGGGTCAGTTGGTGGTAATCACATTTTTCTTGCTCATGACTATTTTAGGCAAAGAGTTAACAGGCAAAGAAACAGTCCCTTTTCCACTGGACATTGGTGAATGTGGATATGATCATTGGCTGATTGCAGTCATCTTGTGAACTTGAAGCTGAGAAGATGAAGACTGGCAGAGCAGAAAACTGGAGTTTGCGTTCTTGTTAACCAAACCCTGAAAAACTTCCAAAGTATGAGGTAATATGTTCCTTATTTGGTTAATCTGAATTGCGCTGTTATTTGCAGCCAAAGTATACTGATACTCCACCACAAGGTAAGAACAAAACAAAAAATCCCAACAATAAAAATAGCAGTCCCCTATCCACTCCTCTTCTGCCTTTCTGTCTTCTCCAGAAGGAACCACTTTAAACTCTTAGCCATTTCACTAGGTGATTTATTTATATGCTTCTAAATAATACGCTTATACTGCTATTTTCTTGATTTATTCATAGAAAGAACATTGATTTCCCACTATGGAAGAGAAAAACTAGTAATTTGCACACCCCTTCTCTTCCCTGCTTGCAATAGAGTTTTATAACTTTTGATTAAATAGTGCTTACATTTCTTTTCTTATAAACCATTCATTATCTCTTGGAGTTAAAAATTATTCCCCACACCCTTTTTTTTTGCATGGTTTTCCATGTGCCTGTTATTAGCTCTTAAACTCTCAAACAGAATTATAATGTACTACTAAAGTGATTTTTACCTTATTAAAATTTTTCATCTGGTCTACTCTTTCCCTCCACCTGATTTCATCTTCTCTTCCTCTTTTATTTCTAAACCCACTTCCATTCCCTTCTTCTGCCATACCAGGCAACAATTCTATGGTGATTAATATGTATTACTGTACATTCTTGCAAAACATACATTTTTTGTATATTTTATATTTATATAAATGGCTTTCCCACACATGCATTCTATTTCTTACTATTTTCATTGGGTACTGTATATTCATGATCAAACCATATGGCTAAAGTGGACATCTGTCGTTTATAACTATTGCAGAATACTTAGTTGTGTACTTCCACTACATTTTTATCTATCCTATCTCCCATGCATGGATATCCGGGTTTACTCCAACTCCATAACATCACAATGCTCAGTAATGGAACTGTATAAAAATATCTTTGGGTTATTAGGGCACACAGGCATGCATATTTTCTTCTCTACATTAGCTGCATCTGTGTCTACACTCCCATCAGAACTACATGAGGATTTCTATATGCCCACCCTCACCATTTGCTATTTAATTTTCTAATTTTTCTAGTTCTGAAATGTATAAAGTGATTGTTTTGAATTTGCATTTTTTCTAATTACTAAGGATTTTGACAATCTTTGCATTTCTTCTGAAATTTGCCTTTTCACATCCTTTGCTCATTTTCTCATTGGCATTTTTTCCCCTTGATTTGCAGTTCCTTCTGTAGTCTACATTTAATCACTCATTGACTTCAAATCTTTTCTCCCTCTCATTCTGTTATCCATCTATAGATCTTTTGCTACTCTAAATATTTAATATAATCAAATTTCCTTTGTTTTTGCTTCATGTCATTTACCAGCTATAGGTCAGATATATTCGCCCACATTTTCTTGAGTTTAGTTTTAAATCTTCATCAATACCATCTAATATAAAACCCTATCATGCCTTTATAACATAGTCATATATCCACGTTCTGTCTCAGCTTTATTCACTTGCATTGTTCCAATGCCATGTCAGTTTTTAATCCTATGATTTAAAATGTCATAATACATGCTAGTGAATATCCCTTTTATTTTTTAAGTTATTCATGGACCTTATTCTTCCATACATATTTTAAAGCTTAGGTTCCTCAAAAAATCCAACTGGAATTTGGTTGGAATTACATTGGCTTTCAGATTAAATTTAGAATGTTCACTTTTACAATACCGTCATCTCACTAGAAGCATGCAGTGTTTATTGGATTATTTTGTATGTCTTTTATTAGAATTTTAAAGTTTGCTCCAAATAGATTTTGTATATCCTTGGTTAACCCCTTTATACTTTGCTTTTGCTGCTACTGTAAAATATTCTTTGGACTTCCATAGGCTGACCCTATTCTGGCAGCTTTGCTGAACCTCTGAATAGTTCAAATAGTTTGTTAATTGTTAGATTTTCTAGGTATGTATCATTTGCAAAGAATTGTTTTCCTTTGCTCCTCCAATCCCGACACATTACAGTTCTTTCCTTATAGTATGAGCCAGAAACCATACTGATAGGTTTCCTCATTGAATCTTGGTCTTAAATGGAATGTATGTTTCTTCACTAATAACATTTACTGTGTATTTTTGGTATATAAAAAAAATCTATCGATAGCTTGATGCTTATGTTTTTCATAAATAGATAAAACCCTACCACGTTTCCCTGTATCAATCAAGATGGTCGTGACTATTTTCCCTATGGTCCATTACTGTGATTGGTTTTCTGATGTGGAGCCATCAAATATTCCTGAGATAAAACTTACTTGGTCATTTTTTAAAATACACCACTGGATCTGGTTAGCTGACATTTTCAACTGTGAATATATATTCGTAAACAAAATGAACCTAAGCTTTTTCATTTTCACCTGGTTTGGAAATCAACATTACATTAGCCTTAAATTTCATTTTGTAAACAATGAGGACCACCACCTTGGCTTTTTGGTTCATAATTGACGTGTGTATGTATGTGTATATATAGGCTATAGCTTTATTCAGATAATCTGGATATCATACAACCCATCTATTTAGTGTACAATTCAATGGTTCTTTGTATGTTCAGAGCTGAGCACCCATAAATATGATTTTAGAATATTTTCATCACCCCTAAAAGAAATCCCGTACCCTTTTCCAATACTTCCACCAACTTCCCGATCACCCCCCGCTCCCACATCCTTCCAGCCCTAAGCAACCACTATGTTTTCTTTATAGACTTGACTACTCAGGACACTTGATGTAAATGGAATCATACAATAGTTGTCCTTTCATGTCTAGCTATTTTTACTTAGCATGTTTTCAAGGTTCATCCCAGTTGCAGCATGTACTATATTCATTCACCATTATTTGTCATCCAGATTTGCTAATAAGGTGTCTAATGCACATTATTTTTGCTCCTAAGTGATTGTTTTTCCCCATCTCTTTGGAAACTTTCAATATTTTTGCAGTTCTAAAATTTCACAGTGCTATGCCTTCATGTGGGTTTTTTCATTTATTACACTTGACACTCTGTTGGGCCTTTCAATTCGAACACAAATTCTGGAATAGCCTCTCACATTATTTCATTTTAATAATCCCTTCTCCACTTTAAAATTTAAAAATTTTTTAATTTTGTAAAATTGTTAATCTTCTGTGGCCTTTATATTTTCTGAGTTCTACTTTCAGAGATATTTCTTCATCTGCATCTTCCAACTACTTTTGAATTTTAAATATTTTTAAAAGCACTGTTCCAATATCCCTGTTTCATTTCCTGTTGTTTTTTAAGTGCAGCTTTTCCCACTTACAACATAGTTAGCACTGTCTCAATCCTAAACATCTTGAAAACATGGTTTCTCATTGTTACATAGTCTTCGACCAAAAGAGCAAATATTTTAAGCAGCATGAAGCATTATCAAGTCTGTGTTTTTGATGTTTGGCCTAGGAAGGAGCGGGAAGACAGGGTCGGTAATCTAGGCAAGAATGACGACTTATCTAAGGCACTAATGGAAGGGTAAAGGCAAAGTGACAGCTGACAGATTTTAGGAGGTGGGATTGCACAGGACTTGGTGAAAGACTGGTTAGGAGAAAAGAGAAAAATACAGAATTATCCTCAGGGTTATAGTTTGGAAAACAAAAAAACTAAATTTCTCAAAAAAAAGGGATGATAAATTTTGAGTATGCTCAACAGTGAGTTACGTATTGCTCAATCTCAAGTGAGTTAAGCTAGGTCATAGCCAACACTTATGCTGCATTCATCTATAGAAAAATAAAATTTCCCCCAATATTAGTCTCAGAAAGTCATTATTAATATTTAGAGAGAAATGGAAAAGCTTCTAAAGTAACATTTGTGTTTTTCATGACAGTATTTCTAATGCAAAAGATAAAATATTTATAAATATTTTTACAAATAATTTGTAAGAAGATATTTTTATTTTTAATTAAGCATAAGAAAAGATAGCAAACCTTTAGAGAAATTAACTTCATAACTAAGATTCTTTGGAGAAACATTTAAAAGTGTGAAAAATCAGCAGTAAACAAAAATTCAGGTTTAAGATTACAAGTGAAACACTATGGAAGAAAATTTTATCACAAAATATGAGGGTATTTTGAAATAAAAACAACCATTCTGCTATTATCCTTTTATTTTCATATAGTCACTTTGAGTTTCAAAATGAATTTTGCAAGATAACTTTTTCATCAGTAAAATACCTATTTACTGTTTAGCCTACAACATTATAGATGTGAATATTATTAAATTTTTTTATTAAATAGATGCAAATACTTTTATTTCAAAAAGTGTTTAATTCTATTTAGACTCATTAATATATTTAAATACTCCAATGTTATCTATGTACATTAAAAAAGTAGGAGCTCCTCAAGTGAAGAAAAGTCTCATTTGGTTTTTTAAATAATAAAGATGATTTAAAATGTAAAAAATTGAGCTTAAAAAAAAGATAGCCCAAACCACCTGTTTTTTTAAATTCATACCAGCCATCTACTTCTAAAAAGTCCTTATCAAAGCTATTTTTTTTAAACCCAACATTTACTTTACTAACTCAACAGATGGGTTTTAAAAATGAAAAAAGTAATTTTACTTTCAATTCACTGATTATATACTCAAATGGTGCCTTTTAAAAAAATACATAAAGACTGAATTAAACCATTTTCAACATTTTTCCAGGACTGTTTGCTAACTGCCTTGTTTTTACATATGAGCTTTAAACATGTCTTTCATAGGCAGTACACAAAAATAATTATTTGCAACTATAAAATCAAGTGAACTTTCAACATAATATCACTGCTTTTTCCTTCTCTTATAAGAATCATTACTATGAGTTCGAACTCGCTGGTACACAGAAGATGATATTTTCATGCTGTCTTTCTTTGTAAATGTCTTCTCTCTTGCTCCAGGTTTCCAAAGTAACAACTGTGCATCTTCTCCTCCTGTTAGCAAAGAATCATCCTGCATATTCCAATGGAAGGAACGGACTGTAGCAGCATGCCCTCCCTTAAGGCTAGTCACATGGATCAATCCTGATGTAGTACAACTCATTAAGTGAATAATTCCTGTGTTTGTTCCTCCAACAATAAATAATTTGTCCATCTTTTCATGATATAGGCCACCGATCAAATAGTCCAAAATACCTCCTTTCAGATTAATTACTTCCCTAACATCCTGGATGTTCAAACATGTAATTGGTTCATCAGTATCCAGATGATTAAGATCCCACAAACAAAATCCTTCATCATGTGTCATGCAATATATCTGTTTATAATCTTTCCCCGACCAACCAATATGGCTTACTGATGAAACTGAGTTACAAGTTGTAACCAGTGCATCCTCTTCATTGTCGGCACTAATATCAAATATATTTACAAGGCCATCAGTTGAACCTGAGACTACCATGTTGGGATTGCTGGGATGGAAACATACTTGAGTGATATCATCACTGTGTGTTTCTGAGTATGCACCAAGTGGGTCTTTAGTAGCAGACAAATCTTGAGAATTCATTCTTGCATCCCAAAATACCAATAATGCATCATCATCAACTTTTTCTGTACCAGCACAAATTACATGATCATTACAGTTGATATCAAAACTGATAAAAATATTGGAAGGGTAACCCTTGAACAGCTGGACAGGTTTTTTACCAGCTAATCGAGCATCCCAACATTTTACAGTGCTATCTGTACATGATGAATATACAATGTCACAGGAATTTGCAAATCTGACTCCATTAAGAAGTCCAGGATTTCCACTAAATTCTCGTAGTATATTTAACCTTTCTTTATCATATATTCTGATTAATCCATTAGAACATAAAACAGCAACCAAACTTCCTTTTTCCACTTGCACAGTCTTTGATGTGTCTATGCCAAGCAGGTAAGTAGGCTCTTTAGTTCCTGAGGAACGTTTAACAATGTTCAGATTAGCAAACTGTTCCTCAATCTTCTCCATATCAGGAGTCGTATCCAAGGGCAGTAAAAATCTGTAATAAAAATATAAAAATTAAAATGAAATCCACAGCTTCCCTAAAATTTTAATTAAATCAAGAACATTTCCTTCTGAGAACTGACATAAAACAACAGATAAAACTGATTTTAATACTGTAATCATTTCCTACCATGAGGTAACTAAGTTACCTCCTTCTATCTTTTTTCTCTTAAAATAGAATTTCTTTTATTTTTTAACTGTACTTTTCCCCATTACCATTTATTCTCTTTAAATTCCCCGTCCCATATTCACTCTCGAACATCAATTCTACTACAGATACTTTGTGCCAGTAAGAGATTTAAAAAACATGTATATATACTAAGTAATTGTTTTTCAGTTCAAACCCAATTACTGGGCCTACTAACGTCCTGAACATTAGTAAGGACCTCCACTTTGGAATCATCTAAACCTGGTCCCAGCTGCCTTCCACAACTTTAGAATCTAAACATAAATGTGTAGGGGGGAAAAAAAGTGTCCCCACAAAGAGGTCCATGCCTTACTCCGTGGAATCTATGAATATGTTAGGTTACATGGCAAAGAGGAACTGAGGTTGCAGATATAATTAAGGTTGATTATCAGCTGATTTTAAAAGGGGGAGATTATTCTGGATTATCTTTATGGGCCCAATGTAATCACCAATGTACTTGAAAGTAGAAGGAGGCAGAAGATGAGAATCAGAGGGAGATGTTCTTCTGGAATAAAGGCACAGAAAAGATACAGTGCAGGTCTAGTCAAAGGAGGTCAGTAAGTGGGTAGCCTCCAGAAACTGGAACAGACTAGGTAGGAAACATCTTCCTTTGGTGCCTCCAGATGGATATGTAGCCCTCAGGATTTGTCTACTACTAAAGACCCACGTGGTGCATATTGAGACATACATGGTGATATCACTCAAGAATGTTTTGTACTTCTGACCTCCAGAACTATGATAAATGTGTGTTGTTTCAAGCCAAGTTTGTAGTGATTGGTTACAGGAACAAAAGGAAACTAATACAGCAGAGGCTCTCAATATGGAATACTGGAGAAGTGGTCCTTAGGCAGTTGCAGCTTGTAAATGGTGGAGCTAGAATCTGAACTAGGCATTCTGGTTTAGGGATTGTGCTCTTAGCTGCCACAGTAGATTACCTCTCAGTGATAGGTTGTATGTATAATGAGTACAAGGCCAGAAAAATATGCATGCCAAGTGACTTTACTACAGATTTTTCTATCTTGCTTTCAACCCTGAATATTCTAGCCTAACTCACAAATTCACAATTTCGTTGTTTTTTTAACACAATTTACTGGGGTGACATTAATTAATAAAATTATATAGGTTTCAGGTACATAAGTCCATAATACATTATCTGTATATTATATTGTCATACTTTCGTTTTTAAGATTAAATGATTTTTCTGTTGCTTTAGGGATAGGTTTTTAAGTGTTTGTCTTTTCATCTTTAAAAGAAGTGAGTACTGACTCAAGAATTTTCAGAAGGATTAACTGAAATGTGTTCAGCATAATGTCTGGCATATCGTAATACACATTCAACAGATGCTATATAAAAATTACTGGCATTACTATTATGAATACCACTAACAAAACATGGGGAAAAATTTGGATCTATCAGAGTGGACCCAAACAGCACAATTAGAACAATGGGCAAAAAATATTAAAACATTGGATTTGAGTTAAAAACAGGAGTAAGTATCCTCTCTTTTATTCTGAATATTTAAAAATTTACAAAAAAGTTGTATGTACACACACAGCCTTTCACCTCCTAGGTTCACCACTTGTTAACTTACCATTATTTTGCCATGTATAATGCACACTTTTTTGCCCAGATTTTTGAGAAAAATAAGGATGCACATTATACATGGGTATAATGATTACATGTCATGGGCACAATAATGGGTATAATAATCCCATGTATAATGCACACAAAACCATGGGTGCACATTATACATGGGAATATATTATACATGGCAAAATACAGTATTTGCTTTCTGTCTCTATAAACACACATGCACATACATTATTTTTGTACTATTTGAAAGTTAATTGCATACAATATATAATTTCACTCCTAAATACTCTGGCATAGTGCACCTCCTCAAATTTTTTTTTCCTTGACACTGAATTTTTTGAAAAGTCCAGGCCAGCTGTCTCATAAAATGTCCCATATCCTGGATTTTTCTAATTGTCTCTTCACAATTAGATTCCAATGTAACATTTTTGGCAGGAATACTTTTTACATGAGACTAGATACTTTTCATTCATCACATCAAGAAGGAACCAAGTTTGATCACTTGTTTAAAAGCAGCGATGTCAGATCTCTCCATTTTAAATGTAGATTCCTTTCCAGCAGTTAGTAATCATGGAGTCATACATTGAGACTGTATGAATATCCTATTATTCTCCAACAACCCTTCATCCAAAGATTTTAGCATCTCTGGATTATCCTTAATTGAATCAGTGATTTTACTGGGATTTGGAAATACAGTCATTTTCCAATTCTATCATTCTTTTTACCTTACCTAGGCATTCTTCTATAAAAAAGAGCTTTTTCCTTTCTCTCTCTTTGACTATGACTAAGAAGTTATGATTTTAAAAATTTATTGTGTTATAATCTATCACTTTGTACTTCTTATTGGTGCTCAAACTGTCCCTGACCTGGCCACTGAGAAACCCTTCAAGTCAGCTTCTCTGCCCTTTTGGTGTCATCCAATTAGTCTGTAAGCCCTACATGGAAAAACTGTAAGAATAAGGTAAGTCTAAAAATGGTGAGCTTCCTTCAATGTAAGGCAGCGACTGAATGGACTTTAACAGTAATGCTGAAGTAATTACTTCCACAGCATAACTGATTGGTATTCCAACCAGAGACGCCTTCTTTCCTTGAACATGTCATGTTTGCTTCTGCCTCACAACTATAGAAATAGCTGTTTCTCTGCGGAGAATACTTTCCCTACTTTTTTTTCCCCCACAGGTAACTCTTTTCTGTTATTCAGGTCTCAACATGTCACCTGCCAGAGAGACCCTTCCTGATTAAGCAGCATAAAGTAGCCCCGACACTCCATATCATAATTTCTGCTTAACTAATTTAAAAATTAAAAATGCTTAATTATGAATTGTTTCAAATGTACAAAGCATAGAAAACAGTATAACAGACAACCAAATACATATTACCCAGAATTAACAGATGCTAATATTGTCACATTTGCTTCATTTTTTTTAAAGAAATAAAACATTAGACACAACTCCTATGGTTAAAAATTTATTAAAATACTATCACATTTATATATTCCTCTCTTTTGCAATTTGCTCTTTTCATTCAATATTTCTGAAAAACCCTATTTTACTGTTGAATTTATCACCTCTTTCTTGCTTATTTGCTATCAATAAATGGCTGTTGAATAAATAATTGATTCAACTTTCATGGATTTAAAAGCTGAAGAGTTTTAGGAGAAACAGAATAAACCTAAAAAGATGTGTCTGTGTGTTTGGAGGGGGAGCTCTGCTCCTGGAAATCAGTAAAATAATGGTATTCCTTAAAAGTACTTTAAATAAAGCACAAAAAAGGAAATATAGAGAACATTTTTTGGGAGAAGGGACATTATTTAACATAATTTCTTTTACAACAAGCTATTTCAATTTTTCTTAAAATGTGCATTTACTTAAGAGTGTATGGCCTATATACTCCAAAGAAGAAACCCTTTTTTAATTCCAGACAAAAACAATGCCCACTCTTGAAATATTCAAGGTGTTAGATTATTAAAAAGAAAATTGTTACTGCTTCATATTTGATCTCTGCATATGAAAAACCAGACTGATGAGAATTTCAAACAGTAAGAAAGTTTAATGTGGCTTTTAAGCTAATAATTTATAGAACTATGAACAGCTATACCCAAGCAGGACAGTTGTATTATACTCCTTTCCATTTTTAAAAATATTTTATTTATTTATTTTTAGAGAAAAGGGAAGGGAAATAGAGAGGGAGAGAAACATCATGTGTGGTTGCCTCTCAAGCACCCCCAACTGGGGACCTGGCCCACAACCCAGGCACATGCCCTAACTGGGAATCGAACTGGTAACCTTTTGGTTCACAGGCCAGCACTCAATCCAGTGAGCCACACCGAAGTGTTTCACATTGGAACAGTCCTGCAAGACTTTAACTCAAAGGATTCTGGTGATTGATAAGGCAGGTAGAGTGGTCCTTAGATAGAATGCTACAGCAAACTAACAATTCAAGATTGTAGCAATGGTAACCATCAGGATGGTTGTCCATGGGGCACACTGTTTAAATGAAGTGCAGTACTCAAAGGAAGGGAGGAAGGAAGGGAGAGGGGGGAGGGGAGAGAAAGAGGAGAGAAGAGGGGAAGGGAAGGGAAGGGAAGGAAAGGGAAGAGGGAAGAGGGAAGAGGGAAGAGGGAAGAGGAAAGAGGAAAGAGGAAACAAGGTATCAGAGGTTAAGGTGGGTATGGCCCTCCTAAAACTTTTAAGCTATAGAGCTTACACTCTTCCACAGACATAAATAGTAAAATACTTTAATCTCATGGAAAAACATGAAAACCTTTAGCTTATGTTTAAATACATTAGTATGCAAGTGAGTCATATTTGAACTGTAACTTCCAAGGCTATATAATTAATTTTTAATTTTACATATTAATGAATCATTCCAAAATGATGAATACACTTTTACTTCTATGTATAGTGCTAATCTGAGTTTCTTTGCATGATTCACTTTCCAGTGCTCAAGAGAAGCCCATAGGCTCCCTTTTCTTCTCACTACACTCATACAAGGTAACCTCATTCATATTCATGCTCTAAAGTGCCACCTATATGCCAATGATCTCATTTCTCTATTTACAAATCAGTATTTCCAGCTATCTACTAGCCATTTCTCCTGGAACGTGTCCCACTACACCCCAAAATAAAATTTATTATTTATGCTTCCCTGCCAAGCCTTCCCCATTTTGGTCTAACATATTGGCACCATGACACCACTCTGATCCATCCAGTTAT